TATCATTAAAACTCTACGGTGACGCAGCTTTAAAGGTGTATAACATCACGGCGCACAGTGTAAGATTTGACCCAGCTAGCTGCTTTTTATTCTGTAATTCGAAAACTATTGTAGATAGATTAATGAAACTTTTCACACGATACGTTATAAGATACGCGAAGCTTTTTACAAAATTGGTGATTTCAAGATACTGCCGTATAATATAACTGTAATTTTTAAAAAGGCAAAAAAAAATCTGAAATACTTATCTAACTACAATAGCTAAAATGCCCAAAATTGACATTTAGAGTTTCCTTATAACAAGGAATTGTAAACTGACAGAAATGGACTTAAAAATTAATTTTTTATTTTTTTTTACCATTAAAAAAGTCAACTTGGGTCAACGAAATTCCGATATAAGTTCAATATTTCTCCCGGTCCAGATAAAATGCAAATTAATTACTCGAAGAAAATAAAATTCCTGGTAGGACTGAAAAAAGAAAATTTCATCAATACCAGCACTTTTCAACAGCTAAAGTTGTGTTGTTTAACGTCTTAGAGGAGTGGCAAATAAATTGATATAAAAACTTTATCGAATAATCGCCGATAACGAGTTTGCGGGTCTAATGAAATTAATAATTTGCTAAAATTAAATTTAAGTTAACATCGTTTTACTTTAACATGAAATACTCAGTCCTAGTTTATGTACTAAAATCCCAAAAATGTATATTCATTAAAAAGGGCATGTCTAAAGAAATAAGACCAAAATAGTATTTTAAAAATTGTTGCATAAATCACATAACACCAACAACTTAAACATTGAGATTTAGTTTCAAATATACAAGTTCAAATATTATTGCGCTTGGTAGTCATCCATATCAAATCCCGTCTCGCCCTACAGTTTGATTTAAATTTTATTGTTACTGTTTGCTTTTTATCAGGCATTTCCGAAAACCTTTTTGACGTTGTTTTGAAATTTGGCGATATAAAATAATTTAATTAATATTTTCTAGAATATGGAAATAATACACTGTGCGGCAGTCCGCGTTCGCACGCCGGGTCAACACGGTTTTTGAAGTCCTCGTAAATTAACCGAAAGTTTAAACATCTGAGAAACCCTGCATTGTCTTTTTAAAGAGCATAATGTGGGCAACTTTCTCTTTGGGTCACTTCCTCAAAGGAACAACCTCCAGATCTCAACTTAGTTGTCTTGTTTTTAGGCATTTTCTTTTCTGAAAGTTCAACTAAAAAATATCTGCATACTAAATATGTTTCTCGTATTCGGGATAGTGCAAACCTCACGTCTTCATATATCTAGGATTCTTCTAATAGTATTTGCTTAAATTTTGATGAAAACCTAGTGCTATAATGATGCTTCTTAGAACTTACTAGACAAGATCCATGAAACTTCTTTTTACACGTTTTGCAAGTGAGTTTCGGCAGCTGACAGGTATCTTGGTGTATTACAGTGTAGCACACGTAACATTCTTCCACACCTTCAAACTTTTTATCCATGTTATATTTCCATAGCGCTAACCCATCAAGTATTGTTCCATTCTATAAATAAAGAAAATTGAGTTAGTTAATAATGCAACAACAAACAACTAAAATTTTGTATGTATTTCCTTTTCAAATGGATCGTAGGAACGACAAAAATTTAAGTTTTTCAAAAAACCGTGGGATGATTGAATACCGCGATGACGGTGAAATCTACTACTACCCAAAACTTTAATATGTAATTTAGGAGAAATGAGTATGTCTATTTAAAACTTAAATATGAGAAAACAAATTTTGTGAGGCTCTTAAATAAAAAAAACGCAACAAATAGAAGCGATTTTCTACACAGTCGGTGACAGTGGCGCACGGCTTCGCATTTGTTTATCTTTATACCCGAGCGCACAAAGTACATTTACCTTGCTGATGTAACGGCAAAGGAATAGAGATGGATATAGACTTAAGAATATATATTTAACCAAAATGCTCAGAAGGACTATATCGATTGAATCATGTCTGTCTGTCCGTCCGTCCGTGACAACATAACTCGTGTAAAAATTAACTGGTCTGGGTTGGTATTGGTCTACCATATACAGAGCTGGGTAAATGCAATTACATTACAATTACAATTACATTCCTCAGTAATTGTAATTAGGATTCAATTCCTTTAGTTCACTGCAAAGGAATCGATTACTTTTTCAATTCCTTGAAGTAATTTCAAATGGAATTGTTTTTTTCTTTAATTCCATTACAAGGAATTTCATATTGTAATTGGAATAAATTACGTGCTAGTAATGTAATTTCTTTTATTTCAATTCCTTTGAAAGGAATTGAAAATGTAATTTTTTTTCCAATTCCTTTGAAAGGAATTGAAAATGTAATTGATTTTTTTCTAATTCTATTCCTCAAAGTAATTTAAAAAGTAATCGAAAAATTTATAAAAAAAAATTTTTTACTGTTGAATTGCAATAGCTTTGTTAAATTTCCTGCTAGTATTTCATACAAAAAATTATTGCACTTTCACTTAACCCTTGCAAACTTGTTTATTTATCCATCGATTTTCATCGGTAGTAGTGTTTTAACCCGCAAAACAAGCAGAGTTTGGCTAGTCTATACTAATATATATTTTGAAAGGCGTTTTTTTCTGTTCGCAAAGCTCGAGAAAGGCCGTACCGATTTTTTTGAAATTTCGGAATCTACTGCAGACTTTCCAAGGATGGTTATAGCTAAAAAAAGTTTCGATATAGAAAGGGGGCGTGGCACCTCCCATACAAACCGAATTTTTCAAACTGCATATATTTGTGGTAGAGGACTAGAACTGGGTATGGTGATATCTATATACATATATAAGACCAATTCCATACTCATGGAGAAAAATTTGCATGGTTGGAGAATGGCGTGTGGCACCTCCCATATAAACCGAACTTTTCATATTGCATATTTCTGGAAGTGTTCATGGTAGACTGTAAGCCTTTTTAAAACTCTTTAGTTTGACACCCACATGCCAACATTGCATTTACTTTATCAATTTAACTGAGTTACAATTTCCAAATAGGTGGCAGCCCCCTCAAAAATATTTCCAACAGTTATCTTTCTCAAACCTTTTTAATTTGATACCCATATTGTAATATTTTATTTATTTTATCAATGTAATTTAGTTAAATTTTCAAACAGATGGCAACCCTCCTCAAACATATTTTCGGCAGTAAGCCTTCTTAAAACTCTTTAGTTTGACACCCACATGGCAATATTTCATTTTTTTTAACAATTTGACTGAGTTTAAATTTTCAAATAGGAGGCCACCCTCGTCAAAAATACTTCCAGCAGTTATCTTTCTTAAACCTCTTTAACTTAATACCCATATTGTAATAATTCATTGATTTTAAATTAATTAAATTTTAAAATAGATGGCAACCCACCAAATTTTTGCGATATCATTGGTTCTGGTATTATACCGAATAATAAAAAAAAAATTATTCAAATCGGTTCAGCCGTTCTCGGGTTTTGATGACCGTGACATACGAACACAACATTTTTATATATATAGATATACATAGAAGATGTCCAATGTGAGCTTTCGATTTTAATCTTTGACCACCACAAAAATTCCACATTGTATATTCGTGAATGAACTTTCAGTTTCTCGATTACTTTTACAATTCCTTTGAGTAATTGAAAAACTAAAGTACTCCTGCAATTCCAGGTAATGGAATTGAAAAAAATCAATTACATTTTCAATTCCTTTCAGAGGAATTGGAAAAAAAAAATTACATTACTAGCACTTAATTTATTCCAATTACAATATGAAATTCCTTGTAATGGAATTAAAGAAAAACCCAATTACATTTGAAATTACTTCAAGGAATTGAAAAAGTAATCGATTCCTTTGCTGTGGACTGAAGGAATTGATTCCTAATTACAATTCCTTGTAATCTGTAATTGGGAGTAATTTAATTCCTAAAGGAATCATTACGACCCAGCTCTGACCATATAATGGTAATTTTGAAATTTAGCAACAAATTGTAAATTCAAAAGAATTTTGATAGACGTTTGTATCGCAGAAACCGCATAACAGTCTCACCGAAATAATAACAAAAATTGATTGGTGCTTACACATATTACATTTTTATGAGTTAGGCCTAATGAATAGTAGTTGTAACACAAAATTTCAACGGGATCGGTCAAGGAATCTCCGAGTTGGAGGGTCTTGAATTTTTACATTTTGGTAAAACATTTC